AGGGAGAGAGAGTGAAAGAGAGTGAAACAGAAAATGAGAGAGAGGGAGAAAGTAACAGAGAGAGTAATAGAAAGTAATGGAGAGAGAGAGCAAGAGAAAGTAACAGAGAAACGGAGAGAAAGAGAGTAAGAGAGAAACACAGCGAGAGAGAGAAAGTGGGAGAAAGAGAAAGCGTGAGAGAAAGTGACAGAGAGAGAAACTGAGAGAGGGAGAAAGAAAGAGAAAGTGAGAGAGAGAGAGAGAGAGAGAGAGAGAGAGAGAGAGAGAGAGAGAGAGAGAGAGAGAGGTGAGTGAGAGAGAGAAACAGAAAGCGAGAGACAGTAATGGAGAGAGAAAAAGAGTAACAGAGCAGAGAGAGAGGAAACAGAAAGAGAGGAACATAGAAAGAGAAAGGGAGAAAGAGTGAAAGTGAGAAGTGAAAGAGAGAAACAAAAAGTGAGAGAGAGTATTGGAGAGTAAGAGTAACAGAGCAGAGAGTGAGAGTGAGAGAAACAAAGAGAGAGAGAGAGAGAGAGAGAGAGAGAGAGAGAGAGGAAGAAAGAAAGAGAGAGAGAGAGAGAGGAAGAGAGAGAGAGAGGAAGGAAGAAAGAGAGAGAGAGAGAGAGAGAGAGAGAGAGAGAGAGAGAGAGAGAGAGAGAGAGGAAGAAAGAGAGAGAGAGAGAGAGAGAGAGAGAGAGAGAGAGAGAGAGAGAGAGAGAGAGAGAGAGGGGAAGAAAGAGAAAGAGAAAGAGAGAGAGAGAGAGAGAGAAAGTGAGGAAGAATGAGAGAGAGAGAGAGAGAGAGAAGAGAGAGAGAGAGAGAGAGAGAGAGAGAGAGAGAGAGAGAGGGGAAGAAAGAGAAAGAGAAAGAGAGAGAGAGAGAGAGAGAAAGTGAGGAAGAATGAGAGAGAGAGAGAGAGAAAGTGAGGAAGAATGAGAGAGAGAAAGTGAGTGAGAAAGAGAAAAAGTGAGAGAGTGAAATAGAGAAAGTGAGAGGAACAGAGAGAGAGAGAAACGCACACACAAAGAAAGAAAGAGAGACAAAAAGAGAGAGAGAGAAAGTGAAAGAGAAACAGAGAAAGTGAGAGGAACAGAGAAAAAGAGAAACAGAGAAAGTGAGAGAGAGAGGGAGAAAGAAAGAGAGAGAGAGAGAAGTGAGTGAGTGAGAGAAAGTGAGAGTGAAACAGAAAGAAAATGAGAGAAACAGAGAGAGAGAAAAAAACAGAGAAAGTGAGTGAGAGAGAGAGAGGGAGAAAGAGAGAAACAGAAAGAGAGTGTAAGAGAGAGAGAGGGAGAAAAAGAGAAACAGAGAGAGAGTGTAAGAGAGAGAGAGAGAAAGAGGAAGAGAGTGAGAGAAAGAGAGAAGTGAGTGAGAGAAAGTGAGAGAGAAACAGAGAAAGTAACAGAGAGAGAGAGAGAGAAAGTAATGGAGAGAGTAACCAAGAGAGAGAGAGAGAGCGAGAGAGAGGTGAGTGAGAGAGAAAGTGAGAGAGAGAAACAGAGAAAGAGGGAGAGAGGGAGAACGTGAGAGAGAGAAAGAGTAACAGAGAGAGAGAGAGAGAGAAAGTAAGTGAGAGAAAGTGAGAGAGAGAGAGAGGGGGAGAAAGAGAGAGAGAGTGAAAGTGAGATAGAGAGAATAACAGAGAGAGACAGAAAGTAACAGAGAGAAAGTAAGAAAAAGAGAGAGAGAGTAACAGAGAGAGAAAGAGAGTAACAGTGAGAGAGAGAGAGAGAGAGAGAGAGAAAGGTGAGTGAGAGAGAAACAGAAAGTGAGAAATGGAGAAAGTGGGAGAGAGGGAGAAAGAAAGAAAGAGAGAGAATGAGCGAGTGAAAGTGAGAGAGTAACAGAGACAGAAGGTAACTGAAAGAAAGTAACAGAGAGAGAGAGTGAGTAACGGAGAGAGAAACAGAGAAAGTGAGAAAGAAACAGAGAAAGTGACTGCGAGAGAGAAACGGAGAAAGTGACAGAGAGAGAAACGGAGAAAGTGAGGGAGAGAGAGTGAAAGAGAGTGAAACAGAAAATGAGAGAGAGGGAGAAAGTAACAGAGAGAGTAATAGAAAGTAATGGAGAGAGCAAGAGAAAGTAACAGAGAAACGGAGAGAAAGAGAGTAAGAGAGAAACACAGCGAGAGAGAGAAAGTGGGAGAAAGAGAAAGCGTGAGAGAAAGTGAGAGAGAGAAACTGAGAGAGGGAGAAAGAAAGAGAAAGTGAGAGAGAGAGAGAGAGAGAGAGAGAGAGAGAGAGAGGTGAGTGAGAGAGAGAAACAGAAAGCGAGAGACAGTAATGGAGAGAGAAAAAGAGTAACAGAGCAGAGAGAGAGGAAACAGAAAGAGAGGAACATA